CTGCTGAGTAAATGGGGGCTAGGCTTTACAGAATTGTTTTAGTTAGGTGGGTGTGGAGAATCTCTTGTATCCTGAAAATGTAACTGCGGAAGATAGTCATGTCCAAAGTTCAATTTTGTGCAGCTTGATCCTTCATGAAGACTATTTTTGCAGGATATTAATAATTAGTGTAGGGTAATGTAATAAAGCATTTTGTACTTTTCTATTTTTTTTTCCTTCAGAAGAAGGCTTTGCTGTCATTCTGAAAGAAGAATATGTGGGGATAGATGCTTTCCAATATCAATAAACCCCTGTAAGAATTATTTTCAGTGTAATGAATTGCGTTATTTCCCTTTGTTAACAGAACTATATCTTCATTGCTTATTTTTCATCAACAGTAAATAAGCAATACACAAGGTCTTAAAGGGCATTTGAATAGTATGATTTGTTTGTGTGGATTTCAGTTCATATGTTAACTGTTCCTCATGAACTAAAGCACATCTCATAGCAAAGCTAAAGGATAGAGTTTTTCCTCTTTGATGCTTTGTGAAGTGTTTGAGCTCCTTGCATGGAAAAGTCTATATAAATGCAAAACAATTATATTAATAATGATTATGGCAAAGCACTGAGGAAAATGATGCGGGAAAGTGATTAGATTCCTACAAAAAATACTAGGCCTGAATGGTTCTGGTTTTTATTACTGAAGAGATGAAAGCTGTGTGGAAAAAAAAAGCACATCTGACTTGTAATGTGGATATTTAATTTTCAGAATTTCAGTGTATTTGCTGAGTACCTACTTCATAAGAAAAGCTCATATAAGCTTATAAGCTCATAAGAAAGTAAAACAAAAAACTGCCTGCAACGCATACGCTATTCTAGCTTTATTAAAAAAAAAAAAAAAGCTGTAATTAGTTATAGACGGTGGAGTGTTTTTAGAAAAAAAACAACTTATTTTGAACCATAGAACATTACAGTTCATAATACAGATATCCCATCAGAACAGAATGATAAAACTTTTTTGCTAACCAGTCTTCCAGTCAAAAATCAATGTAGATATATTTATAACTATGTGTCAACATGTGGTCTAACTACAGAAGAAGTCCTATTGAATGTTGATCTTGAGAGGATTAGTCACAGAACAATATATCCTCTTTGGTTTAATTGTTGTTCAGAACTTACTGAAATGGCCTGTAGTGAAGGGTTCACTTGAAACATTGAATTCAATATTGGAGCTTAAGAAAGAAAGCTTTGTCTTCTGTCACTGTAGCGGTAATAAATGTGGAGATATTACCACTATATTGCTAGTAAATAGCAAGTATTCTATTACATGGTTACCCCGAAAGAATAACTCTCACTTAATCTTGCTTTTAAAATAAGAAGATGTTATCTAAGTCTAGCACCTCACAGAATGCAGTGTTGAGTGTTGGAGCACTGAATTGTTACTGAATTTGACTGTTCGGTTTCGATTCTGAATCCTTCCTGATAGTTGACAATATGATGAGTATATTTCCAAATGGGAGAAAAATGATGAGCCGATAAGCTGTTTTACACTTTCCAGTATTAGATAATATGATCTTTTAACTAGATATAGATAGGACAGCTTTTTGCTTTGCAAATGAGATGCTGCAGTATGTTTACTGGGAACAAAAACACCCGCTGCCTAATGAATGTTTTAAGTAATGTGTTTTTCCTGGATATACAGTGAGAGAGAGGTATCTTTCATCTTTTAGTTTATCAAGTCATTGTAAAGGTAATAAGAATGAAAAGGATTTGCTGGATCATCTAGTTGAAACACCTTATCTTGCATTATATCATCTTGACTAGCTCTGTTTTTAAAGTAACAACATGATGCTTTTCCTTCACTCTTTTTGGTTGATACTACAGAACACGATAGTTCTCGTATCTAGGAAGTGTCTTCTGATTTTTCCTTCTAAATTAATTCTTGGGCATTTATACCTACTTATTCCTGTGTCAACATTTTCCTGTAGCTTAACTGTCTCTTCTTTCATTGGTATCTACCCTCTGACATATTTGTAGGCAGCAGTTGGCCTCCTTTTCTCATGTAAAGGTTCCAAGCTCTTCTTAGTCTCCTTTTGTATGATAGGCTCTCCAGTCTTCAAATCGTCATATGCCTTCAAAATGCCTATTATGGCCTTTTATTTTTTAAGCAGGTCATTGAATCTAAGTAGCCAGAAATACAGTTGCCGTGATGTGGCTTGCAGTGATCTTATGACTAGCTGATAAATCTATGTGCTTCTCCTCATGTATTGCCAGTTGATGAGCATATAGCATAGTTTTTTGTTAGTAGACCCCAAACTCATTATCTTGCTTTTGGTATTATTGAATTTCATCCTGTTTTTGTTACTCCATTCCTCAAAGCCATACAGTTAATTCCATGAGATATCCTGATATGATATCTTTCCTGTTTAGCCCTCTTCTACTAACCCCTATTTTCTGTAACTTACTAACTTCCTGTTTAGCTTCGTATCATATGCTCTGTTGCAGTTCCAGACTTTATGGCATATCTCTTTCCCCAGAAAACTAGTTTGTTTAACTAGATTTTTTTTTTTTAATCTGATGTGACTTTCCTTTAGTGAATCCATATTCACCAAAAAAGTCTGTAAGAGTTCTTCTTTACTTCCTAATGCTATATTTTACAGAACAGCTGTAGGCATAGCTGGTTCTGAGCCCTTTTTCGGGTAACATGTTTTTAGCTGTGCAACTGAACAAGTTGGGGGCCCTCACAGGGCTAATTTCACCTGGACAAATGTATTTTTACTTCTTATGGTGTAAATCAGGACTGACTCGTTGAGAATCCATGAAGTTGCCCTATTGTAAATTCTCTCTTAAATGAGAAGAGATTTTTAAGTTCAGCATTACATTACCCTGCTCAGACAAAATACTATTCTAGCTCAATTGTGAATTAACTTATTATACGTGGAAGTGCTACAAGATGCACTTCTCGGTAATAACACCTTGTATTTCTCTTGAGGTTTTTTGTAGTAGAATACCGGAATGTTTTACAAGCATAAATGTGTTACGTTCCAGTATACCTAATAAAGTAGATAGAGATGGTGGAGAATTTTTACATGAAGGTAATTTTTTAGGAATGTAGGAACATCACAAATGTTTGTTGGGAGGATGTTCATAGTTCTAGGGTCAAATTTCATATCAGAACAAGAAAAAGATTGAGACTTCTGAATAACACATAAATGGGTAGTTCAGTTATTTGCATTGTTGCTCCAAAGAATAATTATTCATACCATGCAGAACAGCTCCAGAAGAAACCCACACCACAGAAGCGCACAAGATTGTAATTGCTTACTGAAAAGTGTTTTAACCTGTGCCTTAGCCATGTTTAGATGGTAGTACTTTCTACTGTTAACTGTGTCTGCTGTCTGCACAGCAATTGTAGCACATGCAAATGTATTAAATATGGCTTTGATTTAGGTAAGTTGGATAATGATAGCAGTATACTGCCTTAGAGATACTGAAGGAAACTATTTGTTCTGCTCGCTCTTTATCATTGCGTTGCTTACTGTGTTACTCAGGTGACAGGTGTGTTTCTTCTGAACTGCAGTTCCTGAACTTGCATTCCTTACCTATATGTTGTGATCTAAAAGCAGTTTTCTGTGAAGCACCACAGAAGCCATCTCTTCCATTCATAAGTGGATATCTGTTATATATTGCTATGAGTGACTTGGAAAAACATGGATTTTTACTCTTTTCCTTTTGGATGTGGCCTTTACCCCTTTTTTTACTCCTTAAGCCACTTTATTTTTTTTTTTTCCTCTGGTTAGTATTTCAGTCCTCTGGTTTCACATCCATTTCCATATAGTTACCTACACATTGAAGAGTTTTCTCCTTCATCCCCATACAGCCAGTAAGTGCTTTTCCTTCATGTGACTGCTGAATGTCATTTCTGTTTCAGTCAGTGTGCTATTTATGGCATAGCTTCTGCTTTCTACTGTCTGCCTTTGAGATGTATTTGACTTCAGGTTTTGATGAAGCAGGTTTATTAGATGATTCCTTAAGATCAGGTCTGGCTTGCTTATGTTTTTTGGGGGGGGGGGGGCTTGCCTTTTATACTAAGAAGTTTGTGTCTGGGATTGTATTCTTGGCTTTGTTTAATAAATGCTTTTTCCCGATTGCCATTGCTACTTAAATAGTAACAAAATTGAAATAGAAAAAATATGTGTACAGATATGTATGCTCAAAGAAAAATTTCAAGAAAAAGATGCTGGAGAAAAAGGACATTTAGGAAAAATTTATTAAGAAAATCATAATTTCTCATTCCGTTAAAACAATCATAACATGGTGGGACCTATGAACTATTTCATCTATGAAAAAATGGCACATAAACCAAAAAGGCTTTTCCAGTTTGTTCCTTAAAAATAAGAAGGTTACATCAGTGATATACTTAACTTAAAAACAGAAGGCCCCTTTCTAAGGTGACACCTTGGCACTACACTAAGACGTGACATTCGTTACATGTTTGCGTTATACTTTGCATAGGTAGAGCTATGGAAACATAGCTCCTTTTAAGCAAGCATCAGCTCTTCGTTATTGAATGAATAAAACAAAGGGAAATGTTAGAGTGATTTTTGAATCTGCTGAAATTCTCTCTGAAAGATTTAAAAGCAGCAGCTTTGCTAGTTTTTCAAGAGGGAAAAAAATGTTCTTCAGTTGTAGCTTTTTCAGTAATTTCTTACTGAAAAACAGGAACTGCCTTTATCTTCAATAGAAACTTAAATCAATGCAAATAATCAGGTTATGAATATACCTGTTCTTTGTAGATGTACAGACTCAGTGCCTTGCTATGGCTCTACAAATCACTGAAGTAGGAGTTTCGTAAAGGCTTGGGAAGCATTTGCACTTTATCTTGTCTTTTAATTAAAAGCTCCTCCTCCTCCATCAAATTCTGTGAGTAATCAATAAACCACAGATTTGTGGTATGCTGTATTTGTTGCAAAGCTATCTAAAGGTGACTTCAGCCAAAACATTATTCTGTGCTCTTGGTTGAATCCTCTGACGTTGGCCCCTCTGGTTTGTTTGGTTCCCTGACTGTGTTTGAATTTCTTCCGTCTGTAGCAATTTTCCTCTCTGTTGTTGTAAAGTTCCTCTGATGGCAAATGGTCATGTTCTGATTACATTATCCCTTATCACTACCAAACAGTTTTAAAGAAGTACTGCTTTTGTGAGACTGCTTTTGAAGTCTCCCAAGCAGATGCTGGAAGACAGTAAACACAACTGGATCTGTCACTGTCTCAGAAATTTGCTTTTATTTTGTTCCCCTTTCTTCTTTGTCTCTCCACTCGCTCCATTTAAACTAGCTGTCTGAGTGCTGTATGGTGGCCTGTGGTGGACCCTTATGCTCACACAGAGCGTAAGGCTTCACTGAACTCAGTGAAGCTGTCCTCTCATACAGGATGACAGTATACAATTGGTACCATTTTTCCTTAATACAGCAGCAGCAACAAAAAATGTGAATTTCTTCTGCTTTCCTGATGTAAATGATAAATAGTAGCTGTGCACGGGGGATGAGTGCTTCTCTGCTAAGAAGCACTAGTGAGTCCAAAATCAGAAAAGGTTTTAACAAAGACTGTCACATGCCAACAGGATGGTATTTTGGGGCCTGGTTTTCACTTGTGGAGGTTCCCCACTGCCATCACGAATATTTTTAATCCTAATATATATTGAATAATATATAATAATTGTTGTACTAATATACTCACATTATTTCTAGAAAGTCTTCTATTTCCTGAGAACATTTCTAGAGTGGTTAGGGCGAAAAGTTTATATGACTGGCTTTTGAAGCTGACAGAGAGAAAGCATGATAAGTGTAAGAGGGATAGCAATTTAAAGCTGAGAAACATTTGATTTTAAATAAACAAATAAAAGGTTTAAGCTAAGTCGCTTTATTTTGCCTTTGTGGTGAGTCAAGAGCGTCTATGCCCTCATCTCAGCAAGCCGGTGGCTGTTAGTTGAGCTACTGTGTCTGGATTCTGTGTCAAAGTCCTCACGTGACTCTAGCTGAAATATTTGTACATGAACTGTGTTTGGCCTGAGACCTGCCAAAAGAAAGGTATGATACGCAGGAAAGGTAGGAACACTAATAACTGTGAAATGTATCCTACTGTAAAATTAATTCATTATGTTACATCGGGGGAAAATGGTTATATCTGAGGCCAAAATTCAGCCTAAGTAAGGGAACACAGCTCCTAGTAACTTCACCCAGAATACTGCCTGTGTCATCTGGGGGATAAATTTATTCCCTGACTGAATACATACCTTAGAAATGCTCTTTCAGCATTTTGAACAAGTAAAGAGAGAAGTCTACATATCATTGTGGGTCAGTACTGCTGAATTACAATGTCTGTGAACAGACATTATTCAAATGTTGCTTGCTCCTGGAAAAGTTGGTTGAAATGTGAGGATGTGGTTAATGAGTTGGTGCAAATGCTTTCAGCTCGCATATGTTCCATTTTTTAATGACTTGGCAGAATCTGAAATGGGATTCTCTTTCTTCTCCCCCGTTTTTATTTTTTAGTATCAAAAATTTATTGAGGCAAATTAAAAAATGACTTAAATAGAACACTAAAGAGAACAGGGAAAAGAGCAATTTACCATTGTTACAGGAACATCTTATTTCAAACCTTCAGAATGTAGTGTAGTTTGAAACTGATTTAACATTTGCCTACACAATTAGCTAAAGGAATGTCAAAATGAAATTTAAATTGCAAGATGATACATTATTTTAATGACATCATAACTACAAGAATAACTGAAAATCTGCTTTTATCTTTACTATCAGAATTTTGTTGCTATGAAATCTCTTATAAACCAAAATTATACATGTTATTCTGATGTTTTTAATAACAATGACAAAAAGAGAATTATGAAGCTTACAAAAACATACTAAATGAGCTTGCTGTTGATGGTGATCTCCTCTCCTCCAGGAGAGGAGCACTGGGAAGCTTTATATTGGTTGAATGCATTTATTATTTATTTAATACAGTCGGGAGGGGGGTTGTTTTTTGTTTGTTAGTTTTTGATACCATAAAACTAAACACAGGCTGTTGAAGTCAGTGGAAGGATTGCAGCTGACATCTATGGGTTAGGGGTAAGGTTCTTAGAGGTCTCTTTCAAATGAAATATAATGCCCCCTTCTCTTCAGCATGACAGCACAGCACATGAACCTGTCTCACCCAGGCTTGTGGAAGGAGGGAGAACTTAAGCCTGTCCTTAAAACTAAGGATATGCTTTAACAGTTGTCCCTCAAAAAACTGCTTTCCCTTTTTAAAGACTTTAATAGTCATTCATTAAAGGATCCACTGTGGTACATATCAGTTGTACCATTTAAGGAGATAATTCTTCCTAAAAGTGTTTCATTTGTGTCTTTGTATTAAATTGCAGCTGAGCAACATTATTCTTGATAAATGATCTTTATTGTAGGGACTTTCCTGTTCTTTTTCCCCTAAATTTTCCAGGAAAAAGGATTTTAGCTTTATATTGCATCCGGTAGTAATACAATTAGCACAGTTCTAACTGAAAGTAGGTTGAACTAAGTAAAACTGGTATTCAGAAAACAAAAAAGTTGATATTCAGGACTATTTTTCCAAAGACAGGAAAAAATACACTTTGACATCTTAAAATATTTAGAAAATGACAAAAACAGTTCATTGAAGCTTGCAAGGAAACGAGCATTCTGTAGTACAAGAATGTATTCTTTTTTCCTCATGAAATCATCATATTATACCTTCATTTTGGAGCATGCATTACACTGGTAATGCATTTCCTATATTACAAATATGTATTTTTTTAAATAATGCACTAGGAAAGGGGAAGAAAGGAAAATATGTAGAGACCTAACTGTAAGCAAATAAAATTGATGCTTTCTTGAAGGATGAAGGAAAGGTGGTGGAGTTAATTGCGTACAGTTCCAAGTAGCTTTGGAACTGGCAGGAGGATATTAGCTGTTGTGTGAAAACAGCATGAAATGTAATTCAGAGCAGCTGTCTAATTTATCAGCAAGAACAAACTGCTCATGTTCTTAAACTCTACTCAATTACTCTCTCCAACCTTCTTTGACCCGTTCAGCCTGCTAATGTTTGCTTAAAAGTAAAAAACTAAAGAAAGTTTGTCAACCTCTTAAAATAAACTGACAGAATCCCTTGAGTTTCCTTTGCAATATACTTTCATCCACTTTTGAATTTATTCAGCTCTGCATCCACAGCTGCTTTGGAGAAGTGGTGTGACGTTCTCTAATTCACAGTGCAGATTCAGTAAAGTCGTATTCTTTTGTGGCTGATTTCAAAATATTGCCAAACTGATGGCATATAGCACCAGGCTAAAAGATTTTGTGCTATCTAAAATGACCACAAAACCTTGAGATAAAAACTATGTTTTGCTGGTAGTCTGTTGGGAGTGCTGTTTTACTCTGTGATTGTACTATTTCACTGACCGTGGTTCTATTCTTACTGTTTTTTCAGAACAATCTTTTAAACTCTGTTCCCTTTACATTTTTGGTAGGAGTTGAACAAAATATATCTAACGGTATAGAATAGATGTTCAACTGGAGTGAAACAGTGTAAGCACACCACACCAACTTTTAATCCATGTACTCCAGTTAACGTCCTCAGTATCTAAATGTGCCCCATCAGCTCTTATTGGAAATGTGAAGCTTCTGTCTACAAAACTAAAGCTATTCCTTATCCTTAATAATTTGAATTTCAGTATTACTTTTTTCTTAAGTATAGACATAATAAATTTACACCCTCATCTATTTTTTGCAAAGTAAATTCTATATCTAGTTCTGGTAAATCCTGTTATCGCAAACAGAAAACAGTAGATTTTTCAAAGCCTCTGCTCTTTTGAGAGGATGTAGCAAAACTTTCTTATTATTCCTCTGACAATTGCTCCTGTGGAAAAACTTGCATATCTCAGGAAACGTTAATCTCAGTGAAGCCTTTTGGTGCTTGACCTGTAGAAGAACTCATGCAAGTCATAGCACTTTTGCAACTGAAATCTAAAAAGCAGC